GTTATTTATAAATTATATATATTTTCTGGTATAAATATGCTTTTTTACATGATTGTTGAATGAAATTAAATATAGTTAATAATTTGTTATAATAATAATATTACAGATTATTTGTGAAACAGATCCAGTTACTGTTTATCTCTTAGTTTCTATGTTTGCTGTGAGCTGTTGCCCTGCTTGGTCTGTTTCTGCTCCTCCATGATGTCACAGACTAACAGTGGACGGGATGGGCGGGGCTCAGTCTAGTGTTTTTATTCAAGTCTATGTTTGCAACTGATCTAAACAAAATTATTAATCATCATTATTATCTACCTGTCTGATGGATTTTCTTTCTCACTTAAAGTTCCACGTGTGGTTTTTCTTTGTGCTTCTTTCTCAGATGCATTATCTTCAAGATAAGATCTTCGTGGGCCTCGAGCACAGTGTCGCAGGGTTTGTGGTGAAAGAGCGCGTAGAAGGCCCCGGCTGTTCATACCTGCAGCACATTCAGGCTGAGACCGGGGCCAAAGTCTTCCTCCGAGGAAGAGGATCGGGCTGTTTGGAGCCGGCCTCTGGCCGAGAGGCTTTTGAACCCATGTATATTTACATCAGGTGGGCTCCGTCAGCCTTTTGATTTCAACAAAAAATGTTGCCAAATTACATTTGATATAAATAAATCACAGTCTTTAGAGAGTTTTCTTTTTACCCGTAGAACTAAATGTCAGTGTTTTTCTTTTCTAGCCATTCTAAACCAGAAGGACTCGCAGCAGCAAAAACATTGTGTGAGAATCTCCTTCAGACAGTGAGTAATTTCCTGTGTCTACTTTTTCATTTTTATTACTAGCAATCAGTGGTGGGCACAGTTCTGCTAATAGAGGAACTAGCTTCTCCATTCAGGTTTTTTGCTAAATTTGGAGAACGTTAGCGGACTAATTAGCTTCTGCTAAATTATTTTCTGCTAATTTTAAGTCCACTAATAAAATTCAAAATTGTAAAACTTCTATTTTTCTGCCATTTATGCCAAATTAAATAAGAACTATCCCCTCTTACAATGTGTCAGGATGTGTCAGACACCTTATGTGCAGCATATAACAATTTTAGCAGCTAAACTTTAAATTTATGCTGCGTTCACACCGAACGCGATTTCAGCTTCAAAATCGCAGCCAACGCTAAAGTTGGTCGCTTGTGCACTTTGAGGTCAGACGCAGGACAGCTCTTGAAGCGCTGCACGGCAACAGCC